TATCTATCTATCTAATCTATGTATCTATCCACCCATCTATTGGTGTTGTACTGGATGGCCTTTGGGTGCCCCTTTCAACTGTAGTATTCTGTCTGACTGTCCACCCACCCATCTGTATTGAACTGTATGACCTTTGGGTGCCCCTTCCAACCATAGCATTCTTTGAAACTTCACCAAAGTCTTCTTCTTGCTCCTCTCCTTCAGCCTCACCCCACAATAATGTACAGACATATCCTTTTGTTCCATACTTAATTTATTCAAATTTTCAATTAAAAACAAAAAAAGGATTTCACATTAATATATATTATATAATATATATATTTATAAACACCAAAAGGACCCGTTCTTCTTCCCTGTCCCGCCCTCCCACAATCATCACCGCACCCCATCCTTGGCTCTGTCCCTCGCAAACCATCCCAAAAGGGGCCTTTGGGGCACATTGGGGAGAAGGAGGAAAAGAGGGAGATGCTGCCAAGACGAATGGGTCAATTTCGGGATGCCCCGGCCATGACTTCACGCTTGTTGTGAACACTGAGCCATTGTCTTCCCTTCCAGAAATGCTCGGCATGACGTGCATGGCGCAACCAATGGTTCGGAGCGTGCCAAATGCCATTGCGATCGGACAGGGGATGACTCTGGATCATAAGAGGGAAGAAGGCGACCCCGAAGGGACCCCTGAGCTCTGGGCCATAAAAGTGAAGGCGACCACGAAGGGACCCTGAAACCTCTCCATTCGCTTTGGTGCTTCTGTGCAAGCTCGGCTGCGTTCTGGTTTCTCAAAGCAAAACAAGCCAATCCCCCAACAATGCCTCCCTTCCTTCCTGCGCTCCCTTCGCCACACTTGGCTGCATTTTGCAAAACAAAGCCCCAAAAAGGACATTCCTTGCAACAAAGGAGGGAGTCTGCCCATGTTCTTGCACTCCCCTGAAATGCAATGAAGGAAGAAGGATCCTTCCCTGCCCAAAAGGCTCAAAGGGAGAGATATGTTTATCTCTTCTCTGGCACAACAACCCTGCGGAGGAGGAAAGGGGACGGGGCCAGCGTGCTTTGCGAGCATCATAGCTCAAGATGGCACGACTCTCCATTCCGGGAATGAGTGCGAACTGCAAACACGGCATCCTCATTCTGTTTGAAAGCACCTTTGGTCTTGATTGACCAAGCTTTGGTCTTGATTGACGTCTTGGACTTGGGCTCCCAGAATCCCCAACATAGGGGGATTATGGGAGTTGGAGTCCAAAACATCCCAGATAGGAAAAAGCTGAGAATCACTAGAAAAAGCTTGCAAAAACAAACCCTAGGGAATGCATATTGATATAATGTCATCCCATTCTCTTCTGATTGGATGGCACCTTTGGTCTTGATAGATGTCTTGGACTTGGGCTCACAGAATCCCCAATATGGTGGGGATTGCGGGAGTTGGAGTCATAAACATCCCAGATAGGAAAAAGCTGAGGGTCACTAGGAAAAACTTGCAAAAACAAACCATAGAGAATGCATATTGATATAATGTCATTCTCTCCTGTTTAGATGGCACTTTTGGTCTTGATTGACGTCTTGGATTTCGGCTCCCAGAATCCCCAATATGGGGGGTTATGGGAGTTGGAGTCCAAAACATCCCAGATAGGAAAAAGCTGAGGATCATGAAGAAAAGTTTGGAAAAGGTGTGCATATTGATACATCATCCCGGTGTTTTCAAAAGGGGAAACAGATCCACTTGGATCCGCTTTGCAGTGCAGCAGGTTGCTTTTGTTCCCTGATTTTGAACTGGATTTTCTATGAGTTCATCTAGAGACAAAGATGGGATTTCTAGTAGTCAAGGGAAGCTGGGAATTCCGCTATAGTTTTGCAAAGTTGGGGAAAAGGCACTGAATTTCGCCATTGCGATGCAAGCATTTCAATGCATCTCCATCCGAGTTCCCTAGATAAGGATACTGCTTAACATGGATATGTTTTGCAATGCAGCCGCTTGCTTTGGTTTCCCTGATTTGGAATTGGATTTGAGTTAATCTAAGAGAATCACCAGGAAAAGCTTGGAAAAACAAACCCTAAAGAGTGCATATTGATAGAATATTATCCCAATGTTTTCAAAAAGGGGAACAGACCGACTTGGATCTGTTTTGCAGTGCAGCGGGTTGCTTATGTTCCCTGATTTTAAACTGGATTTTCTACGAGTTCATGGAGAGGAAGATGGGAATTCTGCCCTGGTTTTGCAAAGTTGGGGAGAAAAGGCACTGAACCTTGGTTTTGCAAAGTTGGGGGGAGGCACTGAATTTCGCTATTGCAAAGCAAGAACCTTGAACAATTCGAGCATTTCAATGCATCGCCATCTCAAATAAGGATGCTGCAAATCGTGGCTCTGTTTTGCAATGCAGCCGCTTGTTTTGGTTTCCCCGATTTGGAATCGGATTGGAGTTCATCTAGAGAGACAACGATGGCATTTGCTGTGAGTCAACTGAGAGGGAAAACGGGGAGATTCTAGCCCGGTTTAGCAAAGGGAGCAAAACAAAAAGGAAGCATTTCAATGTTACCGTTGCATACAAAGAACCCTGAGCAATCCAAGCGTACATGGAAAGGTTTCGAATGCTTGTGCATGTGTGTGCACGCAAAGGAACACAAAGGGAGGCGAGCAAAGCAGAACAAGGTGCAGAAGCCATTGTGGGAGGCCAACCCAGCCTGGCGACGGAGACCAATTTGCTGGAGCAAACAGAGCCACTCCGGCGCCTGCAATTCCCTTCCTTCCGTGGCATTAAACGCGGCTCCTTGGCAACCCCAAATCCCAAGAGCCAAGTTGACAAGAGGAGAAGTTTGGCACAGCCAGGCCTTGCAAGAAAGGAGAGTATCTCCCCATTGTTGCAGAACGCAGAGGAGTTTCCCGGTTCCGGGATGCCGTGGTTGCGGAAAGATTAGCGGGAACCCGAGTCCATTGCCTGCCTTCTCCTTGCTTGTGCCCTGAGCGTGAAATGCTCTCTTGATTTGCTGCAAAACCACTAACCGTCAGGTCCTGCACGAGAGATGGGACCTTCAAAGGATGGCATCGAAGGCTCCCTCTCCGCTTGGGTTTCTCTTTGGAAAGAGACATACAGCGGCACAACGGCACCTTTGGTTGGAGGCCGATCTTTGCAGAGAGGCATGGAAAAGACTCCAGAGAAGAACAACAACAATAGCAATAATGAAAGCACAAAAGACAGAGATCCCTGATCATTTCTTCCTGATTTCTGAGTAGATTGTCGCGCCGTCCGAAGCTTGTCCGGCCGCCGGGGCCGGCTGCGGAGGATGGCTCGCGTTGAAGGCTAGCGTTGAATATTGTATATCCTCGTCACCCTAAAAAGAAACAGGGGAAAGGGGGGGGGGTTGGGAGGACAAGGAAGTCAAAGGCAGGAGACATGCGGGGTGCCAACGTCCCCCAAATACCCACTTTGCATAAAGATTTATTATTTATTTATTTATTTACTTTATTTATATACCGCTTTTCTCAGCCCTCAGGCGACTCAAAGCGGTGAACAACATCGATACAAAACATCACGAGACAAGTATAAAGATTCCTTTCCCATTGCATCCTGCAAAGAAGGGTGCAAAACAACATCCTCCATCCCCATGCTCCAATATCTCTAGTCTGGTCTTCCCAACCCAGGATTAGAAACAAGGAGATTGCAAAAGACAATAGTTAAATCTGCAGAACTAAAGAGTGGTTTGCAATCAAGCCAAGTGGTGAATGTCGACCCAAGATTTGGAGTAATTATCAACCTCTAGATTGCTGATTTATACATTTGAGGGGATACTTTAGGAGTAGAGCAATGCTGGCTGCAATAATACCAGCAGTTCTGCTTTGGGGGAATCTCCTCTTCACCCTTGCTCAGTCCATGGTCCTAAAATCCACAAAAACTCCCATGTTCTTCCATATTGATACAGAGACCAATTGGGACATATTGTCTCCCCATTGAATGCTGCATCCCTCTCACCTTGTTCCCACACTTCTTTGTGAGCAAAAATTATTTTTCCAATTCCTAAATGGATTGCATTTTGGAAGAAGTTCTACTGATCATTACATTTGGAAGCATTTGCACCTTGTCCTCATTTTTTACTGTCCCAGATCCTGGTTTTCCAGGTGTTTTGGACTCTAACTCCCATCATTCTGGGCACCACAATTCAAGAGAGATATTGACAAGCTGGAATGTGTCCAGAGGAGGGCGACTCAAAATGATCAAGGGTCTGGAGAACAAGCCCTATGAGGAGCGGCTGAAAGAGCTGGGCATGTTTAGCCTGAAGAAGAGAAGGCTGAGAGGAGATGATGATAGCCATGTATAAATATGTGAGAGGAAGTCACAGGGAGGAGGGAGCAAGCTTGTTTTCTGCTTCCTGGAGACTAGGACGCAATGGAACAATGGCTTCAAACTACAAGAGAGGAGATTCCACCTGAACATGAGGAAGAACTTCCTGACTGTGAGAGCCGTTCAGCAGTGGAACTCTCTGCCTTGGAGTGTGGTGGAGGCTCCTTCTTTGGAAGCTTTTAAACAGAGGCTGGATGGCCATCTGTCAGGGGTGCTTTGAATGCAATATTCCTGCTTCTTGGCAGGAATGGCCCATGAGGTCCCATGAGGTCTCTTCCAACTCTTTGATTCTATGAACAGTGTAAAAGTCTATTTAACAATATGAATAGCCCACCTCGTGAGTATGTCTTTATGTTGTTGTTATACTATGAGATTGCGGCATCGAATTGTTGCCAGTGTTAGCCACTCTGAGTCGACAAGGGCGGGGAGGAAATGTTGTAAATAAACAAATGTTGTAAATAAAGGGGGCAAAACAACATCCTCCATCCCCGTGCCCCAATATCTCTAGTCTGGTCTTCCCAACCCAGGATTAGAAACAAGGAGATTGCAAAAGACAATAGTTAAATCTGCAGAACTAAAGAGTGGTTTGCAATCAAGCCAAGTGGTGAATGTCGACCCAAGATTTGGAGTAATGATCAGCCTCTAGATTGCTGATTTATACATTTTAGGGGATACTTTAGGAGTAGAGCAGTGCTGGCTGCAATAATACCAGCAGTTCTGCTTTGGGGGAATCTGTTGGCGTTCAGCCTGTGATTGCGTTTCAAGATCAAGGTGCTTTAGATGTGGGGAACGATGTCAATGAGGTTCAAGATGGCAATGGTTTGGTCAATGATATTAATGCAGAGAATGACATAGAGACGTCGGTTCAAAGTGTAGTTTCCCATGAGAATGTTCCTACAGGGTATAGAGATGAGAGTTTACTCCCTGAATTGCTCCCAGAGAGTTCCCAGGATTTGGGGCTTAAAAACAACTTGGCACCTGCAGGGACTAATGAGCGTATAGACAGGTGGGTGGAAATTAGCCAAAATAGACAGGTCGACCAAGGCCTTCGGTGTTCTGCCAGGCTTCGACAGATAAGGATGAGAGGCATTCAGGGAAAACAAAACCAACTTCTGAGTGCTTGGAATGGCTTAACAAGGGGATATAAAGTTCCAAGCGTGGGAAATATAGTCAGATGAAGCATCGTTTTAGAATCCTGCT